TATTTCAAACAAAACTCGAGCTTCATGACCAAAAATTGGCCAAATAATGAGCTCGAGCTACGTATTCTATACAAAACTCGAGCTTATCGGCCAAGAGTTGGCCAAGTAAAAAGCTCAAGCTACCTGTTTAACACAAAAATCGAGCTTATGGGCCAAGCATTGGCCAACAAGCTCGAACCACATATTTAATAGGCATAAGAAATACCTTCACATAATGCCCGAGCTTGATACGTTCACCTCAGTACATCTTATTCCGTAGCTCGAACGTGGGGTTTTCAGCTACGACCTAGATGCACGAGGGCCTTTGATGCGTATAAATTTAGACCTTGTTAGACCCGACCTCAGCCCACTCTCATTGGATCTAAGGCCAAGCTCGAGCTCGACCTTGTTGGACCCGAACTCGAAGTCATTGGCTCGAACTTAGTCCACTGTTATTGGGTTATTTCTAAGTTCGGGCTTACTTAAGGTCGGGTCCCCGTAACTAGGTCGGGTCATTAGCCCTAACTCACATGTCCCATCTGATCTTGTCACACTTTTTCTAGGAATGCTAGTTCTATTTAAATACAAACTCCTAGCTTATTATAAATTTAACCTTAACTCATATTGTGCAATTCTAACACAACACAAACACTTTAAATAACAAGGATAAGGATTGCATGAAGTTGAATCCTTTTAGGACTCCACCTCCAACATCTATAAATACATAACATATCCTCATTATTCAGGTACGTTTTTGATAGCATTTTGCATAAGTTTTCTCTTGAGCACCTATCTGACTTAAGTATCGAAGGGACAACGAGGACACACCTCGACGCCTTTGTTTCATGTATTGAAGATCGGATCACGCGGAGCTCTTCCATTCGGCTCGGGTCTGTCCGGTACAATTTTTGGTAGTATCATTGATATTGTTGTTACTCAATATCCCAACTGGAGGAACAATGACCTTAGATAAAATCAGTGTAGTGCAAAATTTCGAGATGTGATTGAAGAAAATTGGTGGTTGATGTCGCGACCGGAAATAACTGTATATAAATGATTGATCAATTTTCGGCTTTGACATTCAATGGAAAATTGTTGAAGAAATTATTTTTGGCAAAATGTTGAAACAATTGTGACAAAATTCTTAAATAATTCTGGAAAAATGAAGTCTTATTTATAATCAATTTTCTGTTTCATGATTAATTTGAGAACGTTATGGAAGAAGGATAATTCATTGACTTTTTTTATGACAGGATGAGAGAGAATGTACTCAATTTTCTTTTAATAATCCTTTATTTAATTCAAATTATTCTATATAATTTAATATATATTTTTTTTTATTTCAAGAAGTAAAATATTGATTTATGAAGTGAATTTT